TTTCGGACCACCAGCAATTTTTAATGTCTTCAACCCAGTCCCGCCGGATATCAACTTGACTAAGGCCTTCACAACACGTTCTTTGTTACCAACAGAGAACAAGTTCTTTGAGAGATTGATGGATTCAAGGATAGTGTTTTGGCACAAAGACTCGAGTAAGTAGACCAACCCTTCTTCCCCAATGCCACTGTCTGAAATGTCCAAAAGTTTGACAGACTCCAGCCCAATGAATACCGTTGAAAACACTTTGACGCTTTCAACTTGGAAATCGGCTTGTCTCAAGTTGATGCTGACTTGAGAACAGTCGATGTCTTTAATGATATTCTTTAAGACATCACCAGGCATAACAACTCGGTTGAACTCTAAGATCTCGAGTTTCTTGCAGCAGTGGATATACTCTTGAAGATCTTGTGACGTCTTGTCGATCACTTTCAATGACATCTTCATCCCAGACAAATCAAGGACTTTGAGAAGTGGCATGTTTTGCAAAAACCTGAGCATTGAGGAAGTCTTTGGTACAGTAATGTCTCTCAAATAGATCTTTTCCAAGTCGGGAAAGTTCAACGGAAACTGTGAAGCAATAAACTCAATGCCAGCTGCTGGCAACTTCGCGCCAGACAAGTCGATCGTCTTCAAGTTTTTCTTGTCTTCAAGTAACTTCAACTTCCCTATCAAAGCGCCCGACAACTTTTCGTTCGTCAAGACATTTGAAAGGAAGAGTGACTGTAAGTGATACTTAGAGACTAAAGTACTGATCAACACTATAGCTTTCTCATCAATAATGTTATCAGAAACATCCAATTTCCTCAGTGGATGCTTTGGATTCTCATTATAAGCTTCAAATAGTACATCCCACCCTTTACCGACGTCTACATTCCGCAATCGGAGACTCTTAAGTACTTTATTCACTTTGACGTATTCAACTAGACCATCAAAGCATTTTAAGAGCGACATATCTTCCACTGAAACATCGGTAAACCACATGTTAGACTTCAAAGCAAAGAAGATTGGGATCAAGTCAATTGCAGTCAAGTTGTCTTCCTTAGCAGTCAAGTCGCCATTATAGAATCGAGACACTTTCATATGCTTACTCTCTTTGTCTTCTTCCTTAGCATTTTCAATAGCCCATCGCACAGATTGGTTGTACGGGTATTCTCTGAAGGAACATTGTGCTTCATAAACTCCAGTGAATCCGCCACACTTCGTGAATGTTCTGAGGGAGTACACATTAGTAAAGATATTCATATGGCTTTGGGGTGCTTCGATTTCAAACATGATCTTCTCATCTGGGAAGCTCGACTTGAAGGCTCTGATCATCGACGTTATGATCTCGTGGCATCGTGCAGTCGAACCAGTTAATTTCTCCGTCTTGTCCCCTCTCGCACATTCAAATGTGATGTTGTCCTCATTCATTTGCACTTTCGTCAACGCCAAACAATGGAAGGTTGCTTCAACTTCCCCAGTCCCTGTTAATATCCAGACATTGTGCAGTGACACAATGACAAACCCATTGATCGTTTGTTCCTTCTTCTTCTTTTTCTTGTCGACGCCTTCGTGTTCGGAAACATCAATTTTGGCGATATAGACTCCTTCCAAATTTCTCTCTTCCAAGAAGGTCTTGATCATCTTCTGTTGGTCCGATGTAAAATCAAACAAGAAATCAAGCTTGTCTTTGTGTTCCCCAATGGCCACCATAAAGCGACAAAACTTCTCTGATATATCAGTCGGGAACATACGGATGATTTCAGCACTTTTATGGCAAAGTTCCATGTGCAGCACCGAGACGGCTTCATTCGAAATAGTCAAACTATCGTCGAGCAAAAAGGTATAAGGCAGACTTGACGAGTTAATAATGAGCGATACAAATTTGTCATGAAGGGGTCTTGTATTACTTTTGAGTAACGCATCGACTCTTTTCATATACTCAGATCCCTTCCCTTTGAACCCATTACCAGACGCAAGGGTTTGTAAGATCTTAGCAATGAGTGCCAAATTTCGTTTGTTCTTCAAAGTGAGGGTCTCTGCAGTGCAAATCCCATACTTCTCTGGGTACATAAATGCTTGGATATAGAACTGATTCATGATGAAAAGACCAGTAGACACAAATCGAGAGTATTGACTGAGTTGTGGGAAGTACTCTTTGATCAACTCAGAGTGCATTTTGGCGACTAATTTAACACCATTGGGGAGTTGGTCCATCGTGGAATATATCACTTGCAACAACTCATTAGTTTTCTTGGTCAAGTTTTGTAAGTTTTTCTCAATGACCTTCTCGTCAGTGATTTTGTAGTCATCAATTTCTAAGTCCAATTTTTCATTAAAGAAATTTGTGAAGAATTTGGTGAAGTATCTCTTAATGAACGTCTTGCCCACTTTAAGGAAGAAGCATCGCGCTACATAAGAGGCTGTTGCACTTTCTTGGAAGAGTTCTAATTCACTTTGAGCAGCCTTGAATTCATCACGAAGGAAATCCATCAAGAACCAGACTCCTTTGTGGATGTAATACTGAAGATCGAACGTCGCTATCGCGATAGTCTCTTGTTTGTCTTCTTCAAAAAGGAGAGGTAAGATGTCGTGTGCTTCTGTAACAACAAAGTCAATGAAATTGATCATCACGTCCATCTCTCTCTTCGAGTAGATAATGTCTCTTTCATCTACTTTACCTGATAATGTGTCTTGAAGTGAAAATTTCATGACATATTGTTCTAACGGAGTGTATTCAGTCTTCAGGTTGTAGTCATAAAAGTTGTTTCCCGAATTCTCTGAAGTGTCGGAGTCGATTGAAGAACAGTCATCTAAGTGTTATTTATGTGTTGTATTGAAGGGGATTGTGTTTGTAATTGAAGAATCGCAAACTTGAGCTCATCACTGGATTCTATTTTTTCAGTTCCAAACAAGAAACTCAATTCAAAAGATTTTCAAAAATAAAACTGCCACTTTTGGGTTTGACGTTTTCGACTGATTTTTTCAATCGAAAAATATTTTATAATACTTTTAACTAGAATTTAACCTTTCAATTGTTCATAAAAAAAAACGATAACTATTATTATGATTTATTTTAATTAAAATTCATAAGATCAAAATATTTTTAATAAATACAGATTTTTAAAAATCGTTGCATTATGATTTGGTTTAATAGTTTAACCAGTTTAAAAATATTATAGATTTTCTTTTCGATACGAAACATCTCAGAAATTATAACCACATTTTTTAAGTTCTTGTTATAACTCTTTATTTTCCGTTATTTTTAAATTATGTATTAACACTACTTGTTGAGAATTGAAACATAACTTGTACCGTTGCAGTTATAAAGCCATTTAAACATATAATAAACAAGAACGCACTAATTCAATTACAATTAAGACACCAAATTGACAAACAAATTTCACACAAAAATACTTCAGACTCTATTTTTGCAAACTGTTTATAGTAAACAATATGGTTGCATATTAAAGTCTATTAGTATATCATTCAAAAGTATATAAGACTGAGTAAACCCTACAAAAGGTCAATAAAAAGTCGATTAACTGGGTATTTTTCATACAAATGAGCACTATCCACAAGCCAAAGAAGTCAGCCGTGAGCATCGAGAAGAGAGTCGCACAACACGAGAAGAAAGAGAGAGCTAAGGAAGATGCTGACATTAAGAAAGAAGCTGAAGACAAAGCACAAGAGGAAGAAGAAAGCCTTGAGAGTGTCACCGACCCACGTGTGATGGCTCATTACAATGATGCTGCCAAAATCGCGAATGCTGCTTTGAAATTAGCCGAAACCTTATGTGTAGAAGGAGCAGTCATTCATGACATTTGCACAAAAGTGAATGCTTATATCACTGAGGAATGTGGTAAAGTGTTCAAAGGGAAATACAACTATGAGAAGGGTATTGCTTTCCCTTGCTGCATTTCACTCAACAATTGCTGTGGATATTACTCCCCACTTGCTGATGACAAAACTGCAATCAAAAAGGGTGATTTGGTTAAGATCCAATTGGGCGCACACATCTCCGGATTTGTTGCTGAAGTTGCCAACACTATAGTAATTGGAGAAGCTGCCACTGGCGACAAACAGAAATTGATTGAAGCCGGATATTTGGCACTCAAAGAAGCAGTCACCAAGTTGGAAATTGGAGTTAACACTGCAGACATCTCCGCAGCTATTGATGCCGTTTGCAAGAAGTACGACGTCAAACCATTTGAGAACATCATCTCGCGTAATATGGAGAGATATGTGATCGATGGCCAGAAGTTCATCTTGAACGTTCTCCCAAAGAGTCCAAGTGATCATTTGACTATTGAAGCAAATGAAGTCTGGAATTTAGAAATTCAGTTGACCAGTGGAGCTGCTAAACCAATTGAAAGAGACACTAGAACTACTGTATTCAAGAGAAACGTCGAAGAGTCATATTTACTCAAGATGAAAGCGTCTCAAACCACATTCAGAGAGATCAACGACAAGTACCCAACATTCCCATTTGCTATTTCTATGCTTGAGAACGAAGCTAAAGCCAAATTAGGGTTAGTTGAAATGACTAAACACTCCTTGGTCGATGCATACAATGTTGTCTATGAAAAGACCGGAAATGTGTCGCAGTTCAAGGCCACTGTTATCATCACCGAGAAAGGAAAAGTCCTCTTGACCCCGATTGATGAACCAGCTACTCTTAAAAAATAATTGAATTGTTGTGGTATTATATTGTAATCAATAATTATAATTGTTCCTATTAATTGTTTTCTAATGATTCATTAGTAATGAAATTAATTATTGTTAACAATTTAGTTAAATGTATTAAAATGTATAGTTCTTTGTGCTAAATCATATTGAGGAAATTTGTAAGGCCACAAAGGGTCTGTGACACTGTACTGTTGCGTACAAGCTTTTGACGCGAACTTGTAGAATTTGAGATTACCAATTCGATAACTGGTGCTGAAGATAAGATATTTGTTGCTTTAACTATACAAGTATTATATATAAACTATATATATAGTAAGACAAACAATCGAAGGAGAAGATGTTGTTATCGAGAAACGAGCTGATGAAAAACGGTGCCAACACTTCTGATAAACATTGCATGATGTTTGACCTAAATATTGAAGACTCAAATTGGCTCAAAATTGTTTTTTCGAAGTAAGGGTAATTCCACCTTTTGTCTTCGTGACAAGTGAATTTCTCCAAAGCCATTCCAAGTTGTTTTGGTGTAAGTGGGACTACCTTTTTTGTTGTTTGTGAATAGAGAAGAGCGACAGTTGGTATTGCTACCATCAACAAAAATGATGAAGAAATACCGAAGAGTGTGAATTTGGTGATAAAGGCAAGAGGAATGATCACGAGACAACATCCCGCTGTTATGATTTTGATTACTTTCATCAAGTGATACAATACATTCTTCTGGTTGATGCCGATCATTTGCTCTGCAATTGGCTCGGCTCTGTAAAGTCGAGAAGTCACTTCGTGTGGCATCTCGTTATACTTTCTGTATAACACCTTTGCAAATTTGGTGAACCGACACTTCGTAAGAAACAACACATTTTTGCCAGTGAATGAGCTGAAGTACTTTAATATAATTAAATATCCATTAAACAATACGTGAAGAAAACACAACGGAAATACGTGCATAAATTTGAGTTCGTCTCTTTTAGCCTGGACACTACAAATTACTTTGGTTCTCAAAAATGGCATCTAGTTTATTTATAGAACTATATTATTATAATAAAAGTGCTATAAATATACAAGAAAAAAAGAGAACAAACTAATGTTTCCAAACGTTCTGTAAACATACATCATATTTGACTCTTTTACAGAAATCTTGAGTAAAAAACGGAGGAAAGAAGATGTTTTCAACGATCTTCATTGTGTATTTAGTGGGGTAAGCTTGTAAAAAGTCGAATTCATTGTATATTAGAGTCATCAAATTCTCTTTCCAAACAATAGAGGATCTTATGAGTGAATTCGTTTTAGGATCAATCACGGAACTTTTAGAACACACAAAGGACCTCCTGTCATACCCATGAAAGGGAGCAACAACACTGACTATCCCGTCCCAATTCTTATTGAAATCCTCAAAGTGATTCACTTCGTAAAAACACTTTGCTTGGAGAAGTTTTGTGGAGCTCAAAGATGTAATAAAGATATAAAACTCGCGAACTAATATAGGGAGAAAGATCAAAATTAAAACGAGTTTGCAAATACTTCGTTGCTCATTATTCACAAAATACGAAGATATGGCATCCCCTTTGAACTCGCTTGAAAATAGTTTATTATAGTTTATAGAAACCATAATTAACCCCACCACTAATAACACAATTTTCTCTCTTTTTGTTATTCACCTTTAAATAACAATATAAGTCTGAGAGTTTTGTTTGAATTATCGAAAGAACAAACGTGACGCGCATTAATTTGTCGAATACCAAACCCGTATACCCTCCACATTTCCAAATTGTGTATAACTCTTTCAGGCATTCCTCGGGCAACTGTAGTTCGTTTACAGTGCTCATTGTTATTATAAGTTCACTCGTTGCTAATATCATATATAACATTTTAAATAACAAAAAATTAAATTACTAAAACGGCTTCGAATAAAGAATCCCATAGCTTTCCAGTTAATAATAATCTATTCTTCGACTCATCATAAGCTATTCCATTAAACACATCCTCTCCTTTATTCCGTGAAATGTCACACCAGAACTCACTTATGACTTTTCCACTTACTAAATCAATGACACAAAGAACATCTTCATACCATATGTTGGCAAAAATTAAACCATTCACTGTTTGAAGCTCATTGATTCGTATCAGTTTGTTATTCCCACGTCTCACTCTGACTATGTGCTGTAATGTAAACGTCGTGGGTTCGACTAAATAAATACAGTCACTCCCATCACTAATCGCAAAAGTATTGTTAATACGGGTCATCCCCCACCCTTCTTGAATTACTTTTGGTATTTGAAGACTTCGTTTGTATTTCAAATCATATTTATTAAAAACATTGACAACACGATTCTTCCATGTCAGTTGATACATCTCGTCACCAAATATTGCAATACCTTCCCCAAACATCTTTTGGTCGAGTTTTGTCTTTGTTATAACATCACCACTCTTTTTATCAACTTTACGAATGGACGATTTCCCATAAAGTCCAGTTGACTCATACAATGTGTTATTTACTAGATTCAATCCTTGTGTGAAGGCTTTTGAGTCGTGGGGATACCGCTGAATGATGTCTAATCCTTTGTATAACTCGCTGTAATAATTGATTGCAATACATCGATCAATAAGTACACTTCCAACGGTTTTAATGTGAATAAAAACCAAAAGAAAATATGAGCATGCAAGTGATAACATAAAAAATTTTATGAATTTTTATTTAAGTTTACATTCAAATTTTTAACTCAAAATAACTTACAACAAATCACCACAAAAGGATAAAACAAATTTTATTACAATAGTACTCAATGATAATAAATAATAAATAATAAATTTATTATTAATTATTAACTTGAATTGAATAAAAATTTATTAGTATATTATATTACATTTTTAATTTGGTTATACAAATTATAATAGTATTATATTTAAATAATAAATTACTTATCACAAAAACAAAGAACAAATTTGGTTCAACTGATAAACCTAAATGCCTAAAGTCACTTTTGGAGCACCAAAAGAACAACACGAAAACATAGCGAAGCCGCAGAAAGAATTTCCGACACCGAGTCGTGAATGTGTTTCTAGTGGACCGATGCACAAACGCCTATTTATTGGGGGGATAGACCGCTCGATCACACAACAACAATTAAAAGAACAGTTCAAAAGGTATGGGACGGTAGAGAGTATAGAGTTCAAAGACAAAGAGGAAAAGGATACACTCTTTGCGTACATGGAATTCAATGCAAAGAACGATTTAGCACTCCATCAGTGTTTGTCATCACTGAATATGTTGAATTGGAAAGGCCACAAACTGACTGTTCAGTATGCACGAGACGATATTATGGTACAATACAGAGAGATGTGGAAAGAGAACATGCAAAACGATACAACTGACTTCAAGAAGAAGCGTGGTCTTCACACATTGATAAGACTCAAAAAGCAAAAGGCGAAGTTACACAAGCGGGAGTTAGAGAAACAAAAGGTAGCCCAAGTACAACCTGTTGATCAGCAAGTTGAGTGATTGTGTATTCTTCATTTGTTAGTAGATAAATTATAATTAAACAATTATAAATTAATAGTAAAATTACTAAATTAGAAATGGGTTCTGTGGAATTGATTGGTAACTTTCTGAGCGTGATTGGGGAGCGACTGGAAGTATGACAGAAGGTGATACACTTTGCTTTTGAATTGGTTCAACTGGCTTTTCATTTTGCGAAGCAATGATCTTTTGTATCTGAGAGTTTTTGTCTTGTTCCTTTTTCATCATCTGCTCAACGAATTCTTCAAGACGTTGGACACGTGATTTGAGCTCTTCGTTGTCTTCTTTGAGTTTAGTGATTTCTTCGAGGGAGCCTTGGTATTGATTGTCTTGAGTATTGTGTTGGTTCTGAAGAAGTTGATTAATAATATGTGAGTTGTAGAAGTTAGTTTCAGCGACATTGGACAATATTTGAACGAAATAATCATTCGCCTGTTTTTGTGAATCGGCGTACGCTTGTAATATATTGAAATTGTTTGTACTTTTCTCTATGGACACTTTAATAGTATCTGTTGCAGAAACTGGAGTCGTCGCCATATGTTTTTGAGTTTTTTTTGTTCCGAGTCATTTGAATGATTTTTCGATTAAAGCACTGAAAAAGAAGTGGAATAACATTTTTCAAAATGTTATAAAAAAACACAAAGAAAAGTAAAACCCTAATAATTGAATAAACTTGAATTGAGTAAACAATGAGAATCCAGAAGTGTTACTTCTGTGGTGGAAGTATATACCCAGGACATGGGATGATGTTTGTCCGTAATGACGGGTGCTGCTTCTGGTTTTGTAGGTCGAAGTGCCATAAGAGTTTCAAGATGAAACGTAACCCACGTAAGTTCAAATGGGCGCAGGCATACAGAATGACAACGGGTCGTGAGATGACCGTCGACAAGACACTCGACTTTGAAATGAAGAGAAACCGCCCAGTCAGATATAACAGAGAGTTGTACGCCAAGACTATCACGGCAATGAAACGTATCGAACAAATTAGACAGAGAAGAAGACTCACTCATTATATCGAACGTATCAGACCTGGCAAACAACAAGAAATTAGACAGAAGATCAAACATATCAACAAAAACATCGACTCGTTGCCATTGTTGAAATTAAGAGCTACAAAGTCGAGTGTCCCAATTTATAACCAACACTTGAAACGACGCGCAATTTTGAAGAAGGCCAACGAAACTCAGCAGAAGGTTACTGATAAGATGGAGACTGAGGAAATCGATAAAGTTTGAACGTTGTAATGATTGACTTTTTGATTATACAATTTGGTCGTATTTATGTTTTGTTCATATCACTTTTAACAACATCAAAGTCGGATCATTAAAATCACTTCACAAGAATAATAAAGTTGTTTGAACCTGTTTTGTCTATTAAACCACTTAACAAAAATAAATAGTTTTTTTATTAAAATATAACTATTTGTTGAGAACTTATTATTAACTATAATAAAATTAATTAATTATCATAACCATTTTTTTTGAAATAGTATATTTATATTAATAAAAATTAGTGAATTTATATAATTCAAATAATTACATAATACTAATAATTATGATAATCACTCAATAAATTTTATAATAATAAAGAAAATCAATGTTAATTTATATTAAATTACTAGACAAAATGATTTTTAATGTATTAAAGTTAAAAATGCTAAAAAAAATTCAACCGAAATCTTTCAAAAACAAAAAAATAGATTTATTTTAACTTAAACACATATCAAATAATTGTTTTGTCTTTCGCTCGTCTCACTGACTGAATGACAATCACTGCGACAAACGATACATTACTCTTGAAGGAATAAACGAGGTTAAACCTACATGGCTTTTCCAAGCTGGTCCTTCGTTCTGATTTTTGGATTGAAAACGGGTTTAAATATCAGTAGGTTTTCAAAACTATTACTTATTGGTATTTTTTTTATAATATAAAAGTATTGTTATTAATTTATTTATTAAAAAACTTGTATTGTTAATTATTAGTAATTTAATTATAATATGAATATATTTGTTTAATTTTTATTTATGTATTTTTTTATTAGATTGTAATTATTAAATATGAGATAATTGCATAAAAAATTTATTTGTTTTCTAATACAGTG